CACTCAGAACAGCCCAGGTGATCTGAGAGCCGAACCTGAGGCGTTTTTGCTTTGAGGCGAGGGTGCTAGCCGCTCAGTCACCATGCTGTTTATTGGTCAGCAGTTAACAACAATATTTAAGGATTTATTTTTAATATATTTTCCTCTAATGCAAGAAAGAACCAAGCAGCATGGCTACCTCGAGAAAGCATTATTGTGGAAAAAAAAATAACCCAAATCTAAATTGATGGAAGCTTAAAGCCTAAATATGAGAGTCTAGACAAACTGACGCAAAAATCATGAAAGATGAATTTGACAACAGTTTCATTTTCCATATGGCTGTGTGCGTCCCACCAGGTGAGCCGTCATCCATCTTCTCAAGGTGCACGCAGAGGTGATGGAGGAGTTTGGGGAGCCCACTGGTTGTCGCTAATGCATCGAAACTTACAATGAACAGCTTTTTATGGGTGACAGCTCCATCTTTCAATCTCTACCACTTTACTCATAATATACTCCAAAAGTGACTAAACTGGGTAATAAACACGATAAATTGCTTGGATTCCTCATTTCCTAGAATGACGTGCAAGATACCATATCATAGCCTCCAATCTTATCAGAGAGAGTAGGATTTCCAATGAGGTGCCAAGGTTACGGCAAAGGACATTGGTTAGTTTCTAATCAAAATAACATAACTTCATGATCAGCAACAGAATTCAAGTAAAGTAGAAGCTATTGGCTACATGTCTGTCTCTAAATAATGAAGTCTTACAATAAAGTGTCATGAAAGTTCAGTCAGTGTGCTATGTCAGTGTCGTCACTGTTAATTTATTCATGTCATGACAGTGAGCCTATAATAACACTTTCTTTTCACATCTTATGGTATTTATAGAAAAGAATCATTTGAATCATCTGAATAGTTTGAATAATTTGATGTAGGACAAGAGATAGAGGTGAAAGGATCGAGAAAGTGATTTAAAATTGAGGTTTAATATTTTGCCTTATAGAATGAAAATGAAGCTAGAACTGGAACTCTAGACTGCTGCTCTGTTCTAGGGTGATGGAAAAGGGAAAATAATTATGCAATTGTGTTTCATTTCACCCAATTTTGAGTTCATAGCCTCTCAGTCCAAAAAATATTAGAATTTAGGGATGTAACAATAACCAGAATATCATGACATCATATCGTCAAAAGTCTCACAATATTATCAAGGACTGTCACAATATATCGAATTACAAGTCTCTCTGCTTAAATTCACTGTCATGGTCACCAACAGCTAAAAAAAAACAAAACAAAAAAAACTTAGAGAACTACATAGACCATGATCCTTTGGTGTTGTTAATGCCAATTTAACATTAATAACACTTTTAAATCTTAATTCTTCATATTAAACAGGACCATTATAATAGTATCAAGGCTTTTAAAAAGGAATAAGTAGCATATTCACAATTTTAGCCTCCACAAATATCGCAATAAATATCATTCCGTGAAATTTCGAAAATCATAAAAATATCATATCGAGAGATTTGGATATCGTAACATTACAATTTCTGCATATTATCTTAAGATTAGACTATGTTCTATTACTATTATTTCAATTATCATAACGTGTAGCCTACAGTGGAATATAGCCATAATGTTCTTGAGTCAACAGTGCCATTAATTTTCCATTGAGACCGCGCTCCAGCCCAGCCATATTTGATAAAGTGGGATCAAATATCAGAAGCCAAATGAGGAGCTGCTTCTTTAAACGAATTCCTCTCACTGCGCGGACCTGTCGAAGTGCGATAACGCGCACTCACGCACACATTACGCACGCAAGCACGCACCCACACGGAGATGCAGAGGTCCACCGGGTTGTCAAGGACCACTCTCGCATCTTCCTCTCTGCAGACCACCACAAGCCAACCCCCCACTCCGCACGGGCTAGAGAGAGCCGAGTGAGAGACGTGCTGCGCGGTGCCCTGGGTCATGTAGCGAGCACAAAACACGCACCGAAGCCAATTCTCAATTTAGACGCACAAGATGAAAGTGAGGATCCAGCGGCCGCAACTGTAACTGTGACTGGTTTATTGATGCTCTAGGTGACGTTTTAAGCACGCAAGCAATAACCAGCAAAAAGTCTATAAAAGCTCTGGAGTGAGATATGCTACGGAAAACCAGAGTGACAGCAGGCGGGAGGACTTGAGTGCGCTGGGTGGCATTGGAAGTGTCTCTACTTGGTGATAGATTTATTCATGAGGAATAAGTGCTCTTTCTCATGTAGTTGCTAAGTCAGCGAGATCTTGATCTAACACAATATGACAATGACAGTGCTGGTTCACCCTCCAAAGGGCATTTAGTGTGAGAGCAAGTCAAATCCAAGGACAATTTGGGAACTGCAATATTTATGTGGAAGAGAAGTACCATTTTTTGCAGCAGATTGTCTGTTCACACCCCTCAGATAAACCCCACGAGGAATGGTCACGAAACAAGAAATGCAGTTTTTAATTTAAAAGTGCACTATGTAACTTTTCTATGGGAGGGTGTGCCAAGTGACCATGGGGTTGTTATTGCTTTGCCTAGAATGTTGCACAGCATGGCAAAACTGAAGAAGCTACATAGATGAATGGCAAAACATATTCACTCTTAAAAATGTCCAATTGACAGGATTTGGTTGTCTTTAGCTATAACAGAGGGGGACTTGCAAGTCATGACTTGGATTCGAGTCACAATTGAGTCCCTATTTTTAGCACTTGAGACTTGATTTGAGGAAATGGACTAAAACTTGGGACTCGACTTGGACTTGAAGGTCAGTGACTAGAGACTTGATTAGGGCTTGAGAAGAATTGAGAAGAACTTTTAAATCTGAATTATTTCTATTCTGACTATAATGATTCATACTAAGATCTTGTCAATGTCATGTCGATTTAAAAAGGAAAAATTTACTAAATTAATTTCTGCAACTCTTATATACTCATATATCAATATACTGATTTTTAAAGTGCAATTTATCCTAAAAGTCATATAAATTGCAAAAATCTAAGCTATATTTGGTACTTCGGTTTAAAGACTTGAAATGACTTGTAGCTCAAAGCAGACAACTTGAACTTGACTTGGACTTACGGGCCAGTGACTCGAGACTCGACTTGGACTTGCCTGTATTTGACTTGGGACTTGACTTGGACTTGAGGTCAAAGACTTGAGACTTTCAAAACAATGACGTGGTCCCACCTGAGCTATAGTATGGTAGTAAAGAGATTTATCTATATGGGGACAAGCATGCATGTCATCACCAGGCCAAGTTACAGGTCAGATCAATGGAGATGCTTGTCTTTGTCAAAAACAACTGTATGAACAAATGCAGGCAAAATAAGTTTAATGCCATATTTGGTAACTTTTCTGCCATAGGGATGAAATGATATCCAAATCTCTCAGTACGATATTATCACAATATGTATCTCACGGAATGATATTTATTGTGATATTTTGGAGAGTCTAATACAATTGTAGATAGAAACTTTTTTGCTTATAAAATACCTTGACAAGATTTTGGTGTGAATTATTTCCATCATAATCCCAAGAATTCAAGTAAAAAAACATATTTCATGCTGTTTGCACTGAAAAGAATCATGGGATATGTAGTTCCCTACGTTTATAAGCTGTTGCTACTATAAAACTAAACATTTAAGTAAAGGAACTTGTAATTCGATATATTGTGACAGCCCATGATATTGTGAGATACGGTATCACAATATTTTGGTTACTGTTACATTCTTTAAGATCGTAATAATATTAATAAAATAATAACTAATAATAATAATTGGAGACAGGCAGGTGACCCATCCCCCAGTGGAAAATGTCACATAGTACACCTTGGTTCCTTCATGGCTTTTGGCATGGGCCTGTTTCGACCATGTGCAAGTTTTCTGTCTTTTTTTTAATAGACAATCTATGAGAAGGTGGCTACAAGTCTACTTTATTACCATATTGCAGGAGTTCGTGTTGAGCAGATAGGACTGTAAATCTCCCATAACGACTGAAATGATTTTGAGAGGTTAAATGGACAGTAACACACAAAAATGGCCTCTTCCTCAGCAGCTATGGGCTATGGTAAAATAAGTCTGTGGATAAACTGGTGGGAAATGCTTTGTCAGAAAGCTATTACAAAGCTCTGAGCTAAATCACTTTTTGTGGAGATAACAAAATAGTTTAAAATGACTAAATTGCTGCTGCAGTCTAATGGGGCATAAGCATAATCCATTCTGATATTATCAGTGACATACTCATAGCAACTATAAAGACATTTCAGGACTTTGGAGGAGTCAGAATAGAGCCACACTGATTTACAGCATCTTTAATCTCTAATCCAATCCAGCTAACTTTGTTATCCTATCTGCAAGTAAGGGTGTTTTAGCAGTAAAGTATAATAATGGCAATATAACCAGCAGCAGTCAAAAATATAGATTATCATTATTATATCCAGTATTGTTTTTATAATGCTTGTTGTTACATTCTTCGGTTAATGAAGTATCAAAAAACCCACTGAGGTGAATGCACAGAGGAGAGGATTTCGCTGGTAAAAGGTGTTGAGAAGAAATGCATGATTTTAACCTAAAATACATAATGTCCTGAAGGTCTAACAGTCCTACTTAATTGTGATATATAGTAGGAAATTCCTTATAATGAGCTATTGATCGCAAATCAATTAAAGCCGCCAGCTAGACACAGTGCACAAGTCTGGCTAAAAACACAAAATCAGCTACAAAAAGGGTAATATATTATATTGGCTCAATTCCAATCTCAAATTTGTGAAGACTACAGTTTTGTATTTGGCCTCATTAGGTCTGGCAAAGGAAAATATCTTATGCAGTTAAAACAAGAGGACACACAAGGGGAGTAACTGAGGACTGAAGAGGACTGTGCTGAATTCTAAACAAAAGCATTTACAAGGCAGAAGCTGAGTGAACTGTGCTATGGCCTGGTTTAGTCTCTGCCACATCACTGTCAAAATACTGACAACAGAAAACAAACAGGATCGAGATAATTTTAAATTCTGTTCTTTTGGGTCCACAGGTTAAAACAATGTACATGGTCAGACTCATAAAAACAGTATTCTTGTGTATCAAAGACAGAAGTATTTTAATATATGCAACACTGTACAAACCAAGGTCCATTTTATTCTCCATTCACAATTTCTGTTAGGCTACTTTGTCCTGAACAAATCATATAAAAAAAAGAGAGCAACTTAAAACACTTTTCTTCCAAAAAGTCAAATGTACACATGGAAAATGGACAGAATATTATGGATTGTTTGAGTGAAATGAAAATGTGTAAAAGTGGACCATTGCAAGAGTTTTGAAAAATAAGCAAGAAAATGCAGTCAATTGGATCAGTGAGCTCCAGTGAACTCCCTTCTGCCACACAGTGACAATTATTTTAGGTTGTTGTAAGTACACTGTAAGAATATGGAGACTCAAAGTGCATGATAAGTTGAACAGAGTGACAGAGAGATAGGAGGTTCAGTTGATGGACAGAGAAGTAGACAGGGACAGTGTTTCACGCAGCAGACCGCCGGCGAATGACGAATGCCCCTCTCTGCAGCTGTCCCAGGTAGATCCTCATCTTTGTGCTGTCACTCGTCTTTCTCACCCAGATCTACAAAGTGAAGACAGAGGAGCCTCTCAAAATTATGATTCACAAGCAGAGATAGAGATCTGCTGCTGATCACTAGAGCTCCTGGACCATCAGTACAGCCTGTCAGAGAAACTCACCTCATTGGTCCCCACGGAGCTGATCACACAGCTGATCTTTGTGTTGTCCTTCGACTCCAGGTAGATGGCCTGGCTCTTGTGGTACCTAAAAATGGTAAAACATTTCTTCAATATTAAAAAAAAGTACAGTTTAGATTTGCATAACCAATCCAAAGCTTATTTTAAAAAAGAAATGTATGCAAGGTTTGTGTCTACAAATATAGAGGTAAACATGTTGAAATAAATATATAAAAATAGCTTTTACTGATAACATAATGCAGAGTGATTCTTAATTACAAAAACATTGGACATAATGTTCCATTTATTTATGTTACAATTAAGGGTTTTGTTCACAAGATGATTATCTAAATCAATAAGCAGAGTGAGCCTCATATGATTCTCTTGTTAGGATTGCTAGTTTCAATGGTGAATCCAGTTGTTTTAAAGCTGAAAGGACTCTCTCTGATCTGAATCTTCACTATCTAAACCCCAGCACCTTCAGCCAATCTTAAACTAGTGCTACTGCAGCCTCTGCAGCTCAGTGACTTATTGTGGAAGTGAGTGCTATAAAGATTTTTGACTTGAGAACGCAATTATTATGCAGTCCTAGAAGCAAAATGTCTTTTGAAGAATGTGGCAATGCTGTCCTCTAGTGGTGAATTGTATCAATGCAGGTGCCTCACCATCTTTTGTCATAGTAGAGTTTGCCTTCTTCGATACGGGCTTCATAACGTTGGGAAGGGTTGTCCATGGGTGCTGAGGGGATGTGCTCTGGAGATGATGGGGAAACTGAAAACAGGAAAGCCAAAGTTAAATACAGAGTGGAGTTTGTGAATGAAAGAGTAAATATGACAGCAAACTTACTTGGCCGCTTTGGTGACTTTAACTGTCAAGAGTAGGGGGGAAATAAAAAAAAATAATTTGAAAAATCTGTGTTTACCTTTGTTTTAAGATTGCATTGCCCAAATAAGATGGTTACCTTATTCAGTGTTCTTAGATCCTCCATTATCTGATCATCTGTTAATAAATAATTTAACTGCGGTAAGAAGAATTGAGGAAAACATGCTGTAACAACAAATGTAATCAATCCAGAGATTAGACAACGTTCAGACAAAAAAAAAAGATTAGTCCTCATGGGGCCTATAATTAATGATGATGTCATACTCAGATGGGAAGAGAGAGTCTCTCCATTGATTAAATGGTATTTTAATCAGCGAAGAGACTCAGTGGAGACCTTCCTGTATTACCACATGACATCACAAGGTTGAACAGTGTTTTCTGTTTGCGAGAACTCCTAAATATGCAGGGTTTATGTGTTAAACTTGTGTGAATTAAACTAAACAACTCCAGGTATGTTTCTGATAAAGAAACAGCATCATAACATAGATCTGAAAATAGTGTAATATGGGGCTTTTGAAGTGTTTATGATAAAGATATCAGGTGCTGGTTTCCTCCGTTTGTCTGGTATCGGTACAGGATCATTGGGTCGTCTCCGCAACTTACGAGTCATGATTGGCTTTACCTCCATGGAGTCTGCTCACAGAAAAAGAAAAGATTAAGTTAAAAGATTAAAGCATTGCTAAAAAATATTTAGATCTTAAATAAATCTTAATCTAAATCCCAAATATGGGTGCCATTCATAGTCCCGTCAAATAGAACAATAATCCCCCTATTTAGCGGACCAGCCCTTGAAAGTGGCTCATTATTGTTTCCAGTTCTTACCGCCTGTCAGCTCCATTGTTAATTTCTCATTCTCAATCATTTTTTTCTTCTCCTCCAGCTCAGCGATTAAGTTTTCCTTCAGTTCAACCTTTTTATCGTCAAACTCCTTCACAGCGGCCTTCTTTTCTTTTATGTAATTCCTCTCCACCTGCTCTGTCTGCACGAGGCAAAAGCACTGATTGAATTGAGGCATTTCACATAAAAAACAACAATAATTGGTGAAAAGATTAATGGATTTACCTCAAGTTGAAGAAATAGGTCTGAAAAGAAATTAGCGAAAAAATTTAATTTATTAAAATGAGCTGAGTATCCAAAAATTATGAAGTAGTTCAAGTCACTTGCCTGCATTTCTGAGTCGTTCCTTGTATTGCTGGTCTAGCTTCTTCATTCTCTTCTGATATTCCTGAAGTGTACCTGTCAAATGTAATCAGTGATTTGTATTATTATTTCAGTATTATTCCATGCCCTTGTTACATCTGCATATAAATGCAATTCTTACAGCTTAATATTTCAGAAACGTTCTTTGATTTGAAAAAAAGGAAAAGCCATTTAAGTTGTAAATAAGTTATTGTAATTATATTACTCAATTTAAATATTTTTAGTGAGTCTACAACTCTCTAATCACATAAACCTACTGCACGTCAATGATAGATAAATAAACTTTACCTTCTTGCAATTGTTGTAACTGTCTTTTCAGAGAGGCTAGTTTGTCCTGGTACATTCTACAAAAAAGAAACAAAAGAACACATTCAATAAATGTTTTCAAGACCTAATAATAAAGAACAGTTCAAATAAGCACTTACTGCTCTTTAATTTCAACGAAGTCATCTTCATCGTGCTTTGCAAGGTCTGTTTCACTGGCATCTTCTGTGTCTGGAAAACCAAATACAGTGCCATATGTTAACTTGACACCTGCCTCCATTACATTACATGTCCAAAAACAAAACTGTTCTTTCCCCCAGCATGAATATGCCCTCATCAGAACACGCCCAAACTGATCCAGGACGTGCGTGGCACCACACAAACAATGGTGCACAAAGCGTTTATCAAGGTTTTAGACAAAAGAAGGGTAAGTGGAATTTATAATGGCACTTCTAATGTAATACAAGACAGGCAACAGTGACATTGTGACCAAGCGAGTAAAAAGCACCGGTACGAGCCGTCTGCTTTACACAGGCTAACTTTAATTCAGCGGGATGCGCAGACATACAGTGACAGTACGCAGTCTAAAACACTAAGGGAGACTTTATACAAGCGCCAGTCCAATGCGATGTTGCCTTAAATGCCTGACACCAGGGAATGGGCCCAGTAAGTTAAGCTGACACAGCAGCTTTCATTTTCGGTTAGCATTGGTGAGCTAGCCCTATTTAGCTCAGCCACAGTTCACAAAGTAATTCGAAATGATCTCGCATAATTTGCCAGAACATGCCAAAATGCAACAGAAATCAAGCCATTAGCCAAGAGGAAAGCATTGTCGCGAATAAAGCCAACCTTGAACTGCTGTCATGCTTAAGCTGTCCTCTTATCTGTGTGTCTCCTCCGTCCTCCTGTAACCCGTCCCGTCTCACCCACAGTGTGAAAAGGGCAGTGCAGTGGACACAGCTCCAGCTATCGCTCTCTGGGACCTGTCAAGGCTCGCATTGAGCTGATAGCTACGTTAGCTCAATGCTAGATAAAGCTCTATAGCATGGCACTGACAAAGTAATGGCCGTGCACTCCATTTGAGCGTAATTGTGTTGTTCTGTGATTTGATTCATAGGCGTAATAGATTGTGTGTGAATGATGACGGTTCACGCTTCAGCTACAGCGTGTTTACTTTGATTGTATGCTATTTAACAATGGGTCAGTCAGCTACACATAGGAACGAAGAAAACGCACATTTATAAATCATCACAGTCTTCACGTCAAAATTGTGCTACATTCGCACCTCAGCAAACGATTAAGCTGCAAATGTGGTGAATAATTTTGTGTTATTTCGCAATCCGCTAGCTAGCTTCCAATGTGTGGTGATTGTTGACGACTGTGTGAGCTATAACTGCACAGAAACAACAGCGAAATGTGCAGTTTGGCATTATATTGAAAACGGTCTTATCTTTTTAATCAAAGCACTAAATACAAATTATAAACGTTTTGCTAATTGAGACATTGATGATGCATTATTTTTTTCGATGCAAATAATAAAACAACATGTAACGCGCGGGCTGGACGCTTTTGGCCACTTCGTACGCACCTTCTTCTGAATCGCGTCCTCTGAAACTGCGATCGTCGTCTTCATCCACACTGTCGAGGTCTTCTTCATCGTTGTAATAGTCGACCATTGGTGATAACAAAGTTGAAGTCATTTCCACTTTGAAAACGTAAACACACAAAAAATAAACAATCGATTTGTGTTTTGCTCCTTGGAACAGCGCCTACAACTGCAAGGACCCCGCGTAGGATTTAGTCGGCTGTCAATATGCCTGTACAGAAAATGTCACCATGAACAGAATTCAGGCCGTATTTTGCACTTTATGCCATGTATTACGTGATAAGTTATTATTGTTAATAGTAGTAAACATTATGATTGAAACGCTCTTTTTGGCGTATCACAAATTTTTGATTGACTAATTTTTAAGTTGCAGTGTACAGCCAAATGTTGTCAACGCCATTTTTTTGTTTATTTTCTTTTTTCCTCAATAACCGAAGACAAAAGGCTTAGGATATTTAGTTCACTTGTTAAATTAGGAAAATTTCATACAAAAAGCAGTGCAGCACTATAGTTGAAACTCTTTAAATTGCCGGCAGATGGCAGCAAACACTAACTACATTTCTGTGCGCCCTGCGTATCGCGTGTGCGCGCCTTTACCGAAGTTGGTAAAAATTTGTAATACGTATGACTCCGGTTAGTGTATGCACTTAATAAGCTGAAAATACAGCTAACACAGACATATCATAGTATGGAAATAGGCTTATAGTTGTGTAATTCTAGACAAGCATGTGCATAAGGATATCTTCTAGATACAAACGCTTGCTCATTTTATTTTGAATGTGTAATGTAATTTTGCTACTGTAAAGTTTTGCGTGAGCCATATTAAGCCAATCCAGAGCAGTTGTAAACTTTATTTCCGCTGTGTGCTGCGCGCCTAGGGAGCTGTCAAACACGGGCTGCTCTGTCATTCAGGAAGTCCACACACCGACTGACAGCACTTACAAAGTCACACCGGCCTCGCTCCGCGGATAAATGATCACCAAGTGCGCGTGGTTTACAACAAGGAGTTTTTATTCACAAGGTAAGCGTATCCTCTGCGTTTTTCTCCTACTACTGGATTATATTAGCGTGTAGCTTAATGTTAGCTCTACAATGATGACACTTCCTCATGGATTCAAGACTGTGACACGAGCGAAATGTTGAGAAGAATTAAAATGTTGCACTTAAAGTAGGCAAAGCGCACTGCCGCATGTTTTTGACATTGTTTGCGGCTACTGCTCGGACTCGGAGGTAGTGAGTACAGAGCGCAGCGTCTGCTCCAGGTTTAAGTGCGTAGGTCTGTTTTTACCGATCTGAGCCAATTGTACGTTTCTTGATTGATGTCTTCTGCACCTGCTTTAATTTCACGCTTTAAATGTGATATTCTGATACGAAATTGAAGAAACCATCGCTTTGGCGTAGTCTTCAATGGGTGAGTACGATAATGAAAGGGTGACAGGTTGTTTACTTAGGATGTTAAGCCACTAATCGCCCTTTTAAACTCTTCTATTGTGGTATTTTGGCAATGTCACTCGTTGTGGGTAGCTGTGCGTAATTGCTTCCCGCCGTATTGACTATGGTTCCTTCCATCGTTGTCCTACATTGTTTTGATAGGATTTTACTATCATTCACTCACAGCAGCTCTGACGATGCAACATCCACTACACATGGAGCAGCCTGTACTACACACTATTTACTACGTCCTCTGACACGTATAGACAGGTACAACGTCGCCTCAGAAGCGTTGTATACTTTAGTTGCAGGGCTCATTGTGAATACTACTGGCTGTAAAATAAACATTGCGCAGTATTTGTTGAAGAAGCCATGCGTTTGGGGTTTTGATAAAGTGGAAATAATTCGTGCAAGCTGCTCTGTGACCCGTTTAACAACCAGCGTTCAAAGTAAATGTGGGCTAACGTGACGCACAAGACATGGCAGATGTAGATAGCAAGCTGAGCACTAAAACCCAGGCTGACCTAACATGATGTCATCTCTTGTGACTACAGCGCATGAGTGAGAGGCAGCACGCTGTTGTCCCCTTCACAGACTCTTTATGACAATAATAAGTGGCATTTCCCTTGAGTTTTTAGACAGATTTGCAACATAACCTGTTTAAAAGAAGGTTTAATTTGCAAACTTGTAGGCTGTCTTTATAGGCTTATTCCATGAAAGGGTCACTGTGTTAATACTGGATGAGGGCTAGGTAAACGATGTCAGTGATAACATTTGCTTACTGCTAAAACATATTTCTAGCTGTAAGTTATGCATTTGCAGAAGTTAAAATGACTTGAGGTAAAACAATTGTCACTGTCCTTTTTAACTGCCTTGATAACACCCATACCTGCATATTTAAAGGTGTACTATCACTTGCCACCTACCACCTTTGTCTCCATGGAGATGCTACTTATTTATCTGGAATGTTCCACTGAATGCCATTAAACATAGACCTTTTCGTAACACAGCTAGTTCCTGGTCAGATCTGTGGAGTGGCAACCCAGCTCACATTAATGCTTTTAGTTATTTTTGAACAATAAAAAATAGGATACTGTAAATTGAATCAATGCAAGATAGATATGTGTATAATGCCATACTGTGAAACATTCCAGGAAAAATTCCTTGAGGCAAGCAAGTGGCACTCCCTGGACCAGAACAGTTACATAGTGTAATTTTAATTGCTTTAATTGTTGTGTAAACATATTCCAGAATGACATGATGCCTGCCATCTTAATGACAGCAGCTTTATAGTTTCACAACACTGTTTAACAGAGCATGTAATCAATAATGTAATCTCACATTGCACTACTGACCTATTGTGTCTTCTCCAGTGCTGCTGCAATGTTGTGTCGAACCCATTCACTCTAGTCTGACTGACTCAGACATCCCATTGTCTGTGTACAGACAGCATTGACAGTGAAAAGCTGCCGTACAGTTCAAAGTGTTTAGCTGTAACATCGTAGTCTTTGAACATGCACTGGCATTATGGTTGGCTTTAGATTGTTTTGCCTTGAACTTTCTGAACATGATTGAAAACAAATCTATTTTATCATAGTTGAAGCACTCATTCTGAGATTATACTGCAAACAGCCTATGCCAGGAGCATCTATGAAGGCGTCTGTGTGACATTTATTGAGGTTTTTAAGGTTTCATGACTTTGCACTAATGTCTTTGAACCCTGCAGTTTGGGCTGTGCTGATAAGTGCACACTAACAGGACACATCAGCTGCTCCTGACAATGCTCCGATGTGACTGTAACAGATAGAGGGAGAATATGTGCGTTTGGGCTCAGACAAACTGATTCTACTGAGGAACTGGTGGTGTCCGCCTCAGGGATGGGACAGTATCGGCCATATTGAGTTATTGCAATATTAAAGGTCTCACAATACCATTATAGTTGTGGATGGTATACAGTTTATCTAATAGCGTAGCTCAAGGGTCTAAAATACAATGTGTTTCAGTGGCACAGAATAGCAGGGGAAAGCAGATCACGATTCTTTGCTTTGTTTTGGTGCAGCTAACACGGCCTGGCTAACCTGACTAAATTATTAAATCAGTTATTAAAGATGCACTATGCAACATTTCTGGTGGAGGGTCTGGCACCTGTTGGTCTCCGTGGAGATTTTATTGCTTTTTATTGTTGGCTGTAGCCACACATATTGCTCATCTTAAATGTATATGAAACTTTGGCAATTCTGCTGAGCCTGTTCTTGGAAATAGAAACATATTTGACCATAATTGTCAATTTACTTTTTTTAATGTTTAATACTCTCAATTCATAATTTTGTCTTCTTGGCAAGCATTTATTGGTAAAACTATTTATATTCCAGGAGTGCATTTGATTGATTACATAAGTATCTTGGCATCAAATTGGGTAAAGTTCCAAATTGGGCAATGACAGGTTTATTAAGTGTATAAGTATAACATGATAATTGTACTTTGTCCACTTCCGGGTCCAATGGAATTCAGGCCACATTCATTATGATGGAATTTAACCAGGGCTTTGTGAAATGCTGTATTAAAATTTGAAAGCTGTATGAAACCAATTAGGACTCTGTGGATTTTCTCTCAAGATAATTTTCAGACATTAATTATCAAATTATTTTTACCATTTTACTAGAAAGAGATGAACATAATATGACCCTGTTAGATTTGATAACATTACATCCTTATTACCCCTTCCATTATCTGATTTTTATGAAACTGTTTAACTGTCCCCTGCCCTTATGGCATTTGTTTCAGCTCAAAGGGTCAGTTACATGGTGGGGTGTTCTCTTGTAATGAGGTACTTTTGACCTGTTCTGGACTGATAAGGGTCCCTTGTGGTTTTTAGCTTCTCTCACTTAAATTACTGCAAGTTATGTCCAGAAAGAAACTGCTCCCCATTTCCATAGACGGCCTAGTAAAAAAAAACAACTCACATCTGCTCACTGTTAGCAATCAATCAACAAGCGCTATGACTTTATAGCTTCATATATACCTCATGTGAAATTTCCTTCTTTAATCTCACTTTTATAGACGCTCCCTAACCTAGTCTATCAGCAGCACATGCCCCATTAACCACAGGATGTAAAAGTTGTAGTAGTTGCCGAAAAGTTTTTCTCCAGAGGTAATGGTACTGCTGGCTTACCACAGATTGTCAAACTTTCTGTTGATTCATCAGTATACTTTCATAGATGTATGTTGTGTTGTTGTAAAGGGCTGTACCTTAAATAAACTTTGATATAATGGCCTGTATTGATGAAGCAGACTACTGTATCAATATATAATTTCCATTAATGTATTTGTACATTTCACATAATATATATTTAGCTCTGAACTTATAAGTGACTCTCAGAAATCACACATTTAATGGTTCTGGTAGGTTTGCAATATGTGGCATTGATATTGTGAGCCATACATATAGGATTCCTGTCAGTCACCTTGCATAATCGTGCTGTTGACTTAGATCGATAGACACTTTATTGAACACTTACACTGCATTTCTCAGTCACATTTGTGTCTCAGTCAAAGTTCTCACTGTAGTCTAACAGGAGGACTGGTCTGGTAAGGTCAGGTATATCCTGTGTCAGGGCAGTTTGAGGAAAGGAAGAGCCCTCAGGAAAAAAATTGTCCCTCCTCTGTGTCCTGCAGCCCGTGGCATTACAGCAGTGTCTGGGGGAATCCAGGAGACACAAGTGGAAAGCCTCTTCTAAGCCTCATTCTTTCTCCACTCTGTTGTTTCGGTTGGTGATGAAATGGACCATTTCCTCTGAGTATTTCCTTTGGAAGCTTTTCTGTTGTATTTGGTGTAAGAAGCCACATTTGGTGTAAAAAAAACAAAAAACAAACAAAAACAGCCTGTAGCATCTCATATGTCCATAGATAGCTCCATAGCTAGCCTCTTGCATGGCCTCCATGCAGCAGTCCCATATTTGTCCTTTGAACTGCACATGCTGCAGTTCTTAGTTTGTTAAAATCGTATGAGCAATTTTGAATCTTTTTGGTTTTTGAGCTCAGTTAAAAAGGCTCCTGCCCTCCATCTGGGATTATGACATCATATGTGACTGCTCAGTATCAAAATCCTTGCATCCATAAGACACCTGTTGAAATGTCTTCTGCTGACTAATCACCATGAGCAGGAGCTGCACTTCTGTACATGAATTTGCCTCCACTTGCACGTGATGGGATGGAGACTTTTGAAAAATACATTACAGAATAGTCAGTTTAGCCGGCAGTGCACAGTGTGGTGGTTTATGCCACAGTAGCAAAGCGCATCAAATATTAAAGCACTTCTGTCAGGCTCAATGTTCTGCAGTGATCTGGTTTAGCATGTCTAATATAGGAATGCTGTCTCAGATGACAAGGAGAATTATGCCTCCCCTCTCCCCCCTCTCCTCTTTTGCAGTAGCAGATGTGTTCATGCATACTGCTTTTAATGATGATTTCAAAGGACAGCTAAATCCTGCACTGCTAAGAGATCTTGTCTGCAGAAGCTAGCGCTGTAGTGAGCCACATAGTACAGATACTTGCTAATGTTGCTAATGGGATTAATTTGTATTAATCAGT